AGCATTGACTTTGACGCATCTTTCTGGCACCTGTTACTGTCACCATTGCCAGAATTTTGTGGCACGCGCTTTTCTGAGCGCTATTTTGTGACGCTGCCCCCAACTTTAAGAATATTATCACGTAATATTCAAAACCACACAAATGAGCATGAACGGTCACCACACAAATAATGTCCGTCACATAGTCCGTCGCTCATGGCACGTCACATTCACAACAGAGCACTCGATACAATTTCACATTGCAATTCAATTCCATAATACATAAATTATAACCACTGGTACTTGAGTACAACACTCAATCACACATTTCAAACAACTCAGACGTACAAAAGTTTCTCTTTACAACAATTGTACAATCATATCGATAACATCACGTCACCGTAACAAACACTTTGACACTTGTGACCCAGGATAACAACAAGAATAGCGCAGCTTATTGCACTCAACACTGCCACACGCATGCAAATCCAACCCGATCTCCTATCCTGTGCACTTTGTTCTGCCCTTACGCCCATGCTTGCGGTACTCGCCCGATCTCTTCTTATTCTTATATCTGAGGCAATGTCTCAGCTATTGTTCACACTTTAGACACCGTTAACGGGAAATCACAATCAAACAATCTTATCTCATTATTCACCAGCTTGTTTACGTCATGACTTTGGGTCTGACAGGCCGACTTCGTCACCTTTTCACTGTTGGTCGGCTGAGGTCGTTGGGCCGCAGTTCAAGCTGCATGGCACGTTCTCTCGTTCAAAGCCATGATCCCTCAATTCACTGTCTTTTGTAACCGGGCTTCACCTTGAGCTCGGGTGGAATCCGTCGCGGGACGCTCCTCTACTGTATCTCGCAGTCCCTGTGTCAGCGAGGGCACTGTCTTCGGGTCTTCCCCGAAACGTTCCGGATCGTTCGGCCTTCGAGCCCCATCGATGTTTCCGATGATGAGGTCGTATAGGATTTGATTGATATGTGGGGTTTAACGTCCCAAAACCACTATATGATTATGAGAGACGCCATAGTGGAGGGCTCCGGAAATTTAGACCACCTGGGGTTCTTTAACGTGCACCCAAATCTGAGCACACGGGCCTACAACATTTCCGCCTCCATCGGAAATGCAGCCGCCGCAGCCGGGATTCAAACCGGCGCCCTGCGGGTCAGCAGCCGAGTACCTTAGCCACTAGACCACCGCGGCGGGGCGGTCGTATAGGAGGGTCATGATACACAGCGGAGTAACCTTCCCACTGAAGTAGGGAGTTTCAATATCAACCTCAGCTTCAGGAAGCACCCGAACCGAACCATTGATTAGGCGAACCAACTTAGTTCTGCTTGTTAACTCCCCTTCTCGTACCAAGTTTTTCCTCACAATAACAGTGGAACTTTTGGTGTCCCTCAACAGTGTAATCTTCTTGCCCGCAATTTTTCCGTGTAGCTTTGACATTCTCTCCGCAACACCTTTTGGCCTTTTTGTCATTACACGCCCACAATAGGCAGTTTCTTCCCATTTTTCAACTGTACGCATCCGTCCGTGACATCATCATCATCGGCTTTCGGTGCCGCTTGCACACCGGGTACTTGGTGTGTTTTACTCGCTCCGCTACGACATGTGTCTGCCTTGTGCCCAGTCTGAACACATTTGAAACATTTTACAACAGTAGGGCTCGTAAAGTTAGTTCGACAGCTGCTAGCGCGACGACCCACTTTGTTACACGAAATAGATCTTGGAACACTTTCCGGTGCACGCTTCTGTTGTTCGGGCGCTGATTTGTTCGAATTTTCGGGACATTTTTTCTCAACCTTGGCCAGATTTGCGACACCTCGTGCTTTCTAGAGTTGGTCGGCCAATTCAAGCATGTCTCCAAGTGATTCAGCTCTCCTCTCTTTAGAGTACAGCGACAGGCTTCAGTGGCAACTGGTGAGAAATTGTTCTTCAATAAGGAGCTTTCTAAGCTCATCATACTCCTGCGCGGTGCGTGAAAGTTCAATCCATCTGTCAAAATAATGGCTAAGTAGGGTGGTGTACTGCGTAGCCATCTCACCATCAGCTGGTTTTTCTGTTCAAAATCTGTCCCGGAAACCTTCGACAGTAAATATAAATCGCTTCAGTAAAACAGCTTTCACCTTTGTATGGTTGGCTGCATCGGTTGGCGTCAGCCCACCGTACATACTGAGTGCTTCGCCACTCAAAAAAGTACTCAGAGCAGTTGCCCATCGATGTCCGGACAATTATGGTTCCTTGCAATCGTCTCAAATCTGTGAAGGTACGCGTCAAGGTCGTCCTTCCTTTTGTCAAATGCTACGAGCAGCTTGCTTGGGTTCAAGCAGAAGCCACGATCTTCCCGTTCGCTGCTATCGACTCTAGCCTGGACGGGAGTTTCGCTTCACTGTTGCAAACGAAGCCGCTCGAGTTGCATCTCCTGCTGTCGCTGCCGTTCCCTTTCAGCCATCTCCAGCTTCTCTTTCTTCTTTCGCCCTCCCAGCTGCAAGCCTTTCTCTCTACAACTGAGCTGCTTTATCCTTCCTTAGACCTCTCAGCTGCAAACCTCTCTCTCTCTCTCCTCCTTCTCCAACATAGCTGCTTTTTTTTGCTTGGCCATAATAGCTGCCAGCATCTCTCTCTCCACCACCTCTTTCTCCTCCTGGCTCACCCACTTCCGTAGTTTAGCGCCAGAAAGACCCATCTTCTCACCAAGAGCTACTAACTTCTCCAGATGCATGGTGCAACTCAAATAAAATTCTAGCCGCGTGCACAAGATATCTGCCTAACTCAGTCTATAGAAACACTCTCTGCTCATTCGTTAACGAGAACACTGAGCAGCACACAAAAATCGTTCCGAGAGCACTATCGACGACTCGAGGCTCTTTCTTACTACTTTGAACACTCTGTGCACCAAAAAGAATCCTGTCGTTGATGGCAGAATAATTGTCACATGTCCCGTTAATTTGGAAGGCGATCGCCAGGATAATTTCAAGGGCTGAAGTACCGGCCCCCGGACTGTACAACGAAAGCACGGACAATTTAGAAGTGGTCATATTTGGTGCGCCAGCAGACGCCGGCTGTGGTCCAAAGAATGAGTCAGAGTCGAGAGTTGATAAACAAAAGAAAATTATATTCTCAAATATGTTATATCAAACGATACACAATTATGCACACTTAGCAAAAATTCAGTACAATATTTCACCAATGTAACAACAGACTACACGGTACAATCAGATACACTCGAAATAATGGACACAACAATACACGCTCGAATGCAATCGCATGCGTCAAACAAACGAGACACTGATTCAGTCCAAAGTTCTTGGATCAAAATTGATTGTTTCTTTCATAGAAAAGACTCACTCAAAGTCCAGGGCTGTTTTCCATCCACTGCCTTTGAAGTTTCTCTTCCAGGAAACCTTGTTTTCAAATGTCCTGCACTCCAGACACCAAACTTTTCTGCCGGAAACACGTCGGCTTTCCACGGGTGTCGATTGCAGGACGCGTCTTCGCTCTCTGGCGGTAGACTCACACTATTCTTCTGCTGGTATCACCAGCCTTCACCGTTCAGGCGGAAACCCTCTTCAATACTTGCTTTGTCGCTGACGAGAAAAACCTTCACCCTAACTAGGTGGAAAAACCCTACGCACACTTGCACAATACTGTCTTCATCTCCTCCCTACGCACACTAGAGTAAACTATCTTCATCTCCTGATTTCCCTTCTCCGCTGCTCGCTCAAATACCTTTCACGCTAGAATCCAGAAAATTCTAATTGTTTCGGTGGCGCGATGCACAGCCAGGTCTGGGGAAAGGGCGAGACGTTTTGAGAGCCGTCTGCGACACGTGACGCAACTCTGCATCACCACGCCCCTTTCCTTCGAGATCTTTCCAGGGCCTGCACGGCGGCCAAAGTGAGGAGGTTGGTCGGCGAAACTATATACGCTTCCGAGGGGGAGAGATGACACGCCCGGGGAGTGTTTGGATGCTTGTTTCTCTTCTATTAGCGTTAACCTTGACGCAACACTCTGGTGCCTGGTATCGTCTTTATCGCTAGAATTCGGCGGCGCGCGCTTTTCTGAGGGCTCGTTTGTGAAAATTTTACGGCAGTTTGAACAGAGAGCCCAGAAAATGTTTATTTTGCGTAGCTTTTATCAAGATTGTAAAAAGATTGTTTAAACTCTTCTTTAGAGTCACTATCGCTGGCTTTCATCTGTAGCTTTCTACACCATGTGAGGATGTCGCATGGGGGAAAGCGGAGCTGCTGATGCAGTGCTCATGGACGACTCTCTTTTTCCGCCAACGGCCTCCCCGACTGTGAAGTGCATTCACACGTCAGAAGTTGCAAAATCTGCTTGCACACAGCTTTTAAAGTTTGAAGTTTATTAGACCATTTATTTCATATAATTTACATTTTTTGAACCCAGAAAATTTGTCAGAGGGTCCCCAAGACCCTTTATAAGCGGCCTTACGCCACAGGTCGCAAAGGCATATAAGGGGAAAACAAAACTGAACAATAACGAGTACTAAAACATCAGTAGCCGCCCCTAAAATGACCACACTCGAATGCCGAAGTTGCGCTCTTGAAGCTTACGCTTTGATGACGTGATGTCGCTGGCGAGTGGTCAGCCGTCATTAAGTTTCGGTATCATGTGCGAAGTTCTGGTTTCACGTTCAGCGCTTGGTGTTTTACCTCACAAAATGAACTATTTTCCCAACAGCGCCAAAAAAAAAGTTGCCTCCAGGTCGTTGCTACATTCTAGCAGCGACCTGGAGGCAACTTAGAAATAACCTGCACCATTTGGCTAAAGTCTAAAACAGCCAATAAAAGCAACCAGACTATCTTTACAATCGTCCCGCATCGCTGTTTGAAGCCTTGTACGTTTTGGTGCAAGCTTCATCAATTTTTTTCGATGTCATATTCAGTGTGCCTCTTAAGACTCCTTCAGTGTGAAAGCACACTTTCACCGTGACAGGCTTTCACTGTGAAAAAGGAAACAAGTGCGCACGTCATTGTTATGTGTGCAGGGACTTCGAGAAGATCCACGATGGGCTGGGTGAAAAGATTGGCATGTGCCTGTTCTTTCTATCGACCGCCCTGGCTTCGCTCATCTCGGCTTTTTGGCATGGCTGGCAGCTGACACTCGCATTGCTCGCGCTCGTGCCCTGCCTCGTGCTCCTCACCACCGTAATTGCCAAGGCGAGTACCCATCGTGCTTGCTCCGCAGAATAGAGACTTATCGGTAGCTGTTGAACAAGTTTTGCTGATGCGGCCTGGGCTGGCGTCTAATAACCTTGTATTATAGATCGTCCCTTCACTCAACGCTTCACCTTCACTTGAGAAAACCGATGGAAGCGTCTTCTATAGGCACGGCCGGTCACTGCATATGTGCGATAATATGCCGAAATTCTTGAGTAATACAGCATCATTTTCAGCCGAGTAGTGGCGCAGTGCTCAACTCTGTCAAGTGAAGGATGAAAGTTGAGTCGAGGAGTGTTTGTGAATACGAGGGTAAAGCTCCAAGCGAACTCCGAAATAATAGAGCATGCTATTATTTGTTTCAGTTCGCGAACTCGCTACATCGCGGCTAAGCACGGGGAAGTGTCACAGTTTATAAAAATTACTTTTTCAGAACATGCAAGAGCGTAATTTCGTGAGAGTTTTTCTAGATTTGGGGTCTTTTATGTGTGTATGTGTGGGCATGCGCACTTCTATTTTTGCATAGAATCCGTATAACAGATAATAGAGATAAAACTATGGAACAATATTCGTGGCTTTGAAAATTTGTAGTAAACAAAAGATAAAGCGATATTACTGTAACAAAAATATATGGCGTCATTAACGTAGGCCCGAAACCAGGGGCGTAGGTAGAATTTTTTTTCGGAGAGGACATCACCTAGATCCGAAGAAGGGCCAGGCAGGCAGATGAGGTCGAGTGTCATTTTTGCTCTATATGACATGGCGAAAAAAATTGGTGGAGGGCATGGGCCTCCTGTGTGCCATCCCCCGGCTACGCCACAGGCGCAAACATAATTTCGCGGCCGCCGGTTGCGGTATGTGGCACATTCGCATTACACGTGTGCAATGACAGGAGTGCTACGCCGATGGCTGTTCAGTCCACTCATTCTGCTGTCTACATGCGTATGCAAAACCTTTCAAATGATAGACAGCGCCACTTGTGGCAGTAGCAGAGCCCATGGATATAATATTCAGAGACTACGGATAAGCGGGGACTCACTGTGCTTGTATATCAGTGATGCGTCGCACTAATTTCTGATGAGACTATTGAATTTCATTCAAGCGAAGTTCGTTATGGCACACTTCGGTGGCGCTGTGTCAAGCGAAAGCGTATTCGTAGTGTACGCGCCTATTCGCAGTAATTGCTGCTCCTTGGATCGCGGGATTGTCGGCGGTCAGACGACCCCAATATGGCAACGTGACATTTCGACAAGACTGCCAAGGCTTCTGGTTGCTTGACGTTCTCGCACTTTATTTTTGCTTCTACATGAGCGCACGACAGTCGTCGTTGCCTGCAGAAGGGAGCTTATGGATTGCTAAAGACGTGGATGACGATCAATTTTCCAGCATAGATAAAGGAAACGGAAGAGAGCATCGTGCAGTGTGATAAAATAATTAAATAACGAGAAAAGGCATGCTCACGCCAAGTTTTGTTTGCCTCCGTTTTCCAGATAAGGAACAGCCTCCTTGATTATTGATAGTGGCTTATAAATACAACACAACCTTCGTTAACCGTATGTGACTTGTTTTATGCATTCCTTGACATTGCTGTTTCTTACCTTCAAAAAGCGATTTCTTTAGTAGCTCTGAATTCCGCTATATGCAAGTTGATCATTGTATTCGACGAAGTGTGTCAGCATTCTTCGCTCAGGACACTGCCATGAATCTGAGCCTTTGCGATACTCACTTGTAGCATGTTGAACAGCAACTGCTCGTTCGCTTAGTCGGGGCAACTCACCTCCTTTAAAAAGGCTTAACGACGCATCCACGCTGTCCCATGTGGGCACCTGTAAAACCACAGGAAGCTGCCTTGTATATTCCGGAAGCTGGCGTCTTCTGGGCGTTTTAAGCGCATAAATAAAGTTTTATCTGGTGGCAGTTGTTGTGATCGTACTTTTTGTGTTTTTTATAATATAACTCAGTCAAGGCCAATGGCTGTTGGCCCAAGCCGGTATCCCTCACATTCCCGTTTCCGTTCCCACCTCGCCTTCTGCCGCTAGCACCCTTGCTTCTAACCTTCGCATCCTCCTCCTCCCATCCAATATGTCTCCCGTTCTTCACGCCGACCGGCGTCATGCAGCAGCACATCATTCTCCTCCTCTCTTTCTACACAGGAAGTTGCCTACATGGATGCGTCATACATGGCTCCTCGGAGCTCGTGCGGCTACGTTATCTACTATCCACATCTTTCGGCACCTGACACGCACACCAGTGGGCCATACTTGCACCCGCCTATTGTACTTTCGCTAGAGGTCCTTGCCATGGTCCACGCCATGCAGTCATTTTCCTCCCTCTTTTCTCTCCCCGAGTACACGATTTACTCTGACTCTCACGCCGGGATCCGTCACACACAGAACAACACGTTGCCCCCTGCTCTTCAACAGGAGGTTGAGCGAGCGGCCTCTGCTCTTCAACCCTCCACTGTCTTCCTCCGCTGGGTTCCTGGGCATTCAGGTATTACCGACAATGAGCTAGCTCATCAGCTTGCCTGCGATATATTTCACCGGAAACCATTCATTTCCTGGCCCACATCTTCGGAAGACAGTGAGAGCTCCGCAAATAACGACGGGCAGATCTCCTTGCGTCACACTATCAAGGACAAGTATCTCCAGCTCCGGCTTGACAAGCCGTCTTTACCCTCCCCCTCATCCATCACTCACTGTGCTCGAGGCTCAAACTCTACGGCACATCCAAATGAATCGGCATGATAACCCCATCTCGCATTTTCCTTTATAAATATAGGTTTAACCCCTGCTTTCCCAATTGTCCCTCCCTATTTGCCGACCATCACACTGCCTGTTTTACTGCCCAACTGCTCAGCAATCCAGCTAATACCCTCCCCCGTCGTTTTCCATCACCCCCTAGCTTGACTGAATCGGCGTCGAAGGGGAAGAAGAACCGCGTCAACTGGTCGCACAGGCGGTAGAAATGCTTGGACTCGAGCGTGAGAAACTGCTTACGAAAAAAAAAACAAACCAAACACCTTCAACACGCCTCGTTCAAAAAATGAGATCAACTACCACAACTTCCTCGCAGAATGGGTAAAAAGTAATATACTTTTGAAATATGCATGCATGAAATGTCTTCGCAGCTACATTTCCGGTCGATTCGTATAGTTTACTGTGCTACAGGCCGGAATTTCATTAAAAAGTGGAAAAGCCCTCGCGCCGGCATCAGACGACTGTTCTTGGTGGTGGCTCTGGGACACTAACAGCAGCTTCCGGTGGTTTCAACCACGCTCACTCGATCCGCAACCCACCATACCAGGGGGACCTAGTAGAGACATATTATTGGCATAATAAACACATACCAAAAAATAAATATGCCTGTTCAGTCTCCGTATTCGTTCTTTTTTTCGCCTGTTTACTGCGCTTAAGAAACTTTGCTCTCGGCACATTATGTGGGAAGAACTTACAGAAGCACACATCATCAACCAAGTCGAGAGACTGAAGCTACCCCACAGGCTAAGCCGTCTGTAGACGCGCAGAGTACGAGACCACCCTAGAACCCGACGAAGAACGCAAAGGCAAAATACCGTCACAGCTCCCACAATGTCTTGAAATTCACCAGGTTTCTGGAAGCATGAATCCTTAACATCACCGAGCAAGGCGACTCGCCAGGGTTAACATGATACGGAAAAACCATCGCAATCACCCGCAGGCATGATACATGGACGCAACCAAGTATCTGGGACGTAACGTCTTGGCGATTACCGTCACAGATTGCAAGGGAACGGTACTGGAATTGGCGGCTATCCTCGCCAAACATGTGGAAACAGCTGAAGAGGCTGCTATAACACTCGCTTCCCAGACGAGTGAAGATCTCATCATGATCTTAACCGACTCACAAACAGTGGTACAGAGCTACCTGAAATGCAGGGTCTCTACGGTGGTGATCAAGCTACTAAAACGCATAGACAATCCTCCCCCCTACACATACATCGTGTAAATTCCGGGTCACGAAGGCTTCGAGGGAAATAACGTGGCACACACCGCAGCCCACGAATGCGTCAACCCAGCATTCCCGTATGAGATCCGAGGCACCTCCCACACAACAACAGAATCGGAGGCAAGAGAACCCGTACCGCTAACGTATCATGCATTACTGCAACATTATCGGCTTGAACGCAGGTCATAACCTCCGCCACATTCAAAACTCAGAAGAGACGAAAGCATTGACTACAGGCGTCTTCAAAGCAACACGTTCACCCACGGCATATACTATTTCACCTTATGAGGCCAACGTTGCACAGCTACATCTGTCCTCGCTGCAATGTGGCACACACTCTGGCGCACCTCCTACTGCAGTGCGAAGTAAGAGTTCCAAGGAAACAAGCAGCACCAGATGCGGGCCAAGACCTCCTCAGTGAAGCGGGGGAGGCTGCGGTCTCGCAGCCGGACCTGGTCGAGCAGCGTCAAGTCGTTGTTCGAGCCCGGCCGGCTGTCCAGGCCAGAGGGTTGCTCGAATAAGGGATACTCCCACCTTCACTGACAAGCTTAACTCAATATATGTTTTCTCTCTCTCTCTCTCTCTCACGGCACGAGACAACATCTTTTACTGCAAATCACAAATCTTAATTCAAGTAGCAAGCAATATAGCTTAGGCTACACAACGCTCCGTGTCATGAAATGCGTACTTAGTTTTTATACACCAGAACATAGCAAGTTCAGAGTGCGCCGCCATATTTAGAATGCGCGTCACACCATTTATTCCAATCGCGTCGAAGCAACATGTTGAGCTACTTCGCGAGCAGACGTTCCACAAATCAAACGCTACACTTTCAAAACCAAGCACGGCTGTGAGTACGTTTTGCGCTTTTCCTCTCCTAGCAGCGTGTGTAGTTTTCTTGTGAAACGTCGAAAAGGCCTTCCTCGACAGTCCAGAATGTCTACAGCACGTGCATTGCAGACACTGGAAGCAATTTCATCAGGTACATACTATTGTGATTAAGAGAAACGCGGAAAGCGGAAAGCAAGCTTTTGACTCCCTCGAACTGCGACACGCCTTAACTGTCGCTAGGCAAAACTTCTGCTTTGAGCCGACGTCAATGTAGAGTCAGAATACTTTTCCGGCTTGCGGTCATGCACCGCATGTGCTGGTATTTTGCCGTTATACCGGGAGCTCTGAACTCACACGTGGTGCGAAAGTGCCAGCCAGTGAAAAGTTCTATGGTTTAAAGCACAGATTCACCTATAACGACAGTCAAGGCATGTCGCTATTTGACTGTGTCGAAACCCACGCTTTCCGCTGTTCAGGTTTCTTTGCATTGTGATAGTAAGCCTTTTGATTTGTACTAAACGTGCACAGCGTGCATGCAAGTGAGAGTCATTACATCTTCTATTATCGGCGTGAGGCCTGCGAAAGGTTCCGGCAATGATTTAGTGCCGCGTATACGTTAAGTTGTGATCTTCACGGACAGTACTGAATATTGTCTTCTTCTTGCGTTAGTTGTTTTCAAATCCATAAACAGCGCTGTGGTGCCCAGACAATTTCTTGGAAGGAAGAGTGGCGTGAAGAGGGGCTAACTTGCATTTTAATATCTCAGAACAACTGCTTCCAACGCTAACTAGATAAACACCTTGGCAGTCAAAACAATTTAGCCTCTGGGTGCGAGATATATGCGTGCTCTGGTGTACACTCACTACCCACGGTAAATGGAAGCATGGGGACCTGTAAATTGTTTTCGAAACTTTCTTGTGACAGCAGACGGAGTACAAGCAACAAAACTTGCTTCGCCTTCATGTGTTCTCATGCACAGACCCAGAGCAAGCTGGAAGCCGAGGAATCCACCGAGTATCGCTTCGCGGGAGCCGTGGCTTTGGAAGCGATCACTTTCATAAAGACCGTGATCGCCTATGGCGGACAGCACAAGGAGATGACGCGGTGAGTGTGATCTCCTTCTAAAAGTTAGTTCTTGTAGAATACCGTGACTGCTTGTCGGTGCATAGGACTGGCATTTTTGTCTTATTGGCTGCACGCTTAACGGCTATCTTAAGGTTTGATTAGCTTGAATCACTAGTCATTATTAGCATTCTGCCTGAAATGATTAAAGATGTGTTTGTGAAAGGGGTAGCGAGCAGCGAAAACCTCAAATTAGTGGCTCAAAATTATTTGTCATTGTCAAATGCCACTGTAATACCACTCTTAAGCTGCCTTTAAATGATTAACCACAAATCGCATATGCGTAGCAGATACCCATTGGCAGTGTGATGAAAGCGACAGCGGCAGAATCTGGCGTAAGAGTCCTTTTGTAACAGCAGAGCGAACCTCCGGGTGGCGCTGGCACAATCTTGGGTGGGTATATACCACGACACCTCCCCCCCCCATCAGTGATGTCAGCATGCGTCGTCCAACAAAGCACTCGGGAGATGAAGGAAGTGGAGAGAAGAAATACAGGAAATGAAATGAAATTTCTTGCTGAAGCGGGATATGAATCACAGTACTCACGGTCTGTATAGTTGAGCTTCGTAACCAGTCAGCCATCAAGGCACGCTAAAAAATGATACAGAGAACAAAAAAAAGAAAAAAAACACGGGAACAAGAGGAAAAACGTTGAGGAAGAAACACAATGAAAGGATTCAAAAAATAGATTAAAATAAATCGTACCGCATTACCTATTATACAGCATAGCAAGGGTGTGGGGAAGATTAGTGAGAACGAAAAAGTGAGACGGTAAAGCATATCCATTCATACTAAACAGTGTAGCAAGGGTGTGGGCAAGGAAAGTGGAGGTGAGGAGTGCCAAGCACCTTTTAGCATAACATAGCCATGCACAACGGTAGTAAACGGATGAGATGAAGTGATGGGAGCCTGACGAAGAAGGAGGGAGAGAGAGAGTGAAGCATAGCATTGCCTTCGTATAGTTCAACAGGGGGATGAGAAAGTGAGGTGACGAAGACTGCCGTCATGGCGAGGAGGAATGAAAGGAGGAAATGAAGGGTATACCTCAACCATGTACAGTATACCATATCAAGGGGTGGGAAACAGAACCGAATCTGAGAATGATAAGTGAAGATATGCTCTGGATGACAGAGTGGGGGCAATACTGAAAGACGGAAGGAAAGATGAAATAAACAAAGAAAGAAGCTGTAGAAATAGCAAAGAAAGTATTAGTGTGAAAGTAAAAGATTGGTGGCCCTAAAAACCACTCTGCGTTGGCCAGATGGTACCGCTTGCTTGCCACCTTCTCTTTTTATTCAGATTGTGCAGGCGTGTCATTGGCTGTTTTTTTCTTCTATTTCTAACGACGCGATCGTGCAACCTGCTCTCATCCTCGTGAATGCAAATGAGAACTAGCTATTGACTCGCATATAGCTTAGTGCATTTATTTTGTATTATAATTTACACTGGTGAGCGATTTATTTACGCACTGAAAATAAAGCACCATTAGCCGCTAACATAAAATGAAACAACAGATGTAAAGCGACCTTTTGACTTACCTTGTAAACAGGGAATTTTCAAGAGTCAGGCAACAAGGTTATGTCGCATGTGCATAGAAAACAAAGACTACGTAAACAGACTTGCCGCCGTAAAAGGAACACTATCAGACAGAAATCACCTTAACACTTTTTTTGAAAAAGCCTATACAGAAGAACTGGAACTGGACCGCAATGAAACACTCAAACGACGCCCCAAAAGCGCAACAACAGCATTTGCACCTCTTCTCACCACGAAGTTTTATAATAGACTCTCCAACATAAACAACATCCTCACAATATACTATTCGATTATAACTACCAACCACAAACTTTGAAAAATCTTTCCCGAACCGCCTAAAGTCGCTTACAGACGCAACGCTAACCCTAAAGACATGCTTGTTCACGCGAAAACATAAAGCAAGGAGTAGGTCAACGTCTGGTCCCTGTGGCCGGCCCAAATGCTACACAGTGCAAAAAGCACAGCATCTGATTACATTCACACGGTCATATCGAGCTTCACCTGCACTTCAAAAAACCTGATATACTGTTTTTATGGTGCCCCCTGTGAAAAACAATATATAGGCGAAACTGGGCAGCCGATCTACGTAAGACTGAACAGTTACAGTGCAGAAACAAAGCACACTTTACCAAAAGCAGTAGCCGGTCACTTCTACGAACAGGACCACAATTTCGACCAAGCAAAGCTTTACTTTCTACAAACTAATTTGCAGTTACTACGAAAAAGAAAATACATGATTTATATTGGATACACAAATTTAAGTCCCTACACCCAACAGGAATCAGTGTAGCACGTGGCGATTCGGAATCAGTGAAAACCATAGCATAATTGAGGCGATATTTACGGAGACAAGGTGCGTTCAACCTTCAAATAGACATAACTGGTACTTCATTGAATCACTCCTAGCCCCCATATCGTACTATTAATGTTCTTTTTCAATTCTTCAGTTTCAGTTATAGATATGAATGTGTGTATATATAACTACGAACTTTTGATTTTTTATAACCGTTAAAGCACTGATTTGTTTCGTCTTTCCTCGTTTCTAAAACCACTCCTACCGCGCATCATTAGATAACATTGCCAACCCAGAAAATTCTTTGCATCTTTTCTCTCTCTCTCCTTTTTCTTCTTCTCGTTTTTTTCCGTCTGTTTACCCCAACATCCCACTTATCTCCCCCCCCCCCGCATTTCCTCTCCCTATTTTTTTGTGTCTGTTTCTCTTCTCGTTGCTCATTTTCTTTGCATTCTCAACTTCCCTTTTCGTCAGCCAGCATGCCACAAAATTATTGAATCAATTCACTGAGCGGGCCCCCTGTGGGGATACGAAAAGCATATTTTGTCAATGACCTTTCCCATTAAACACGCGCTTTTCAGAACCCGTTCGGTATAGCTTACCTTCGACATCTTGGCGTTTAAAAATACGCCGCCTACTTGCCCCCTCCCCCTTCCGTTTGTAACTGATTTCTGGTTGCATGTCTCAGTCATATGTTTTCGGGAACAGGCGTACACCGCTATTGTCGGCAACCCTTTCTGGTAGCCGGATGCGGTGACCGCCTGCCGGCTCCGAAGCTTTAGGCTGTCTCAGTTGTTCGTGTCTGAAGCGGCCGCCCCTTTTGCAGCGCACCGCTACAACTTTGCGCTTTTCCTTTTTTTCCCGCTCTCTGAGAACATTTTTCAATCACTACCACTTGACTTGAAGTGAAGCGAGGGCTGCACTCTTTATCAACAGGAACACGTGCCACCACCATGAGATGACGTCACCACTAACCTCTTTGAAACTAATACGCCAAGGATGACACGGTGCATTTGAAAAAGATAGGTCCTCCTATTGAAACGTCGGCCAGCCAGTCTGAGGCTTTTCACCAGTTCATCTTATGATTATCCCACTATGTTGTTTCCATCTGTCGGCTCCCATCAAGATTTATGAGCGTTATGCATTGGACTCACGGCAGCGGCCAGTATGGCATAAAGGGCAGGTGGTTAACGTGCCCATCGATGGACCAACACTGTGCAGTGCCGGTGGCGGAACGTGCCCAACAACGCTGCCTTCGACATACACATCATGCACCGTCTCGCTAAGAAGCCTTCCTACAGAAATGGTCTTACCAGGAAATGTCACGTGCTTCTCCGGGCAAGCTCCTCCAACATAATTCACTTTGTGGATATGACGGTGATCGTTCTACCGTGGTCTGTAGCTCCGCTCCGCGTGCTTATTAGACATTTGAACACACACATCGAAGAATTGAATGACTTCCCCTTCCGGTAATTTATGCGTGCACTGCATACCGCTTTCATGCGGTAAATCGTCTAACGGACAAACTGGATGCTGTCTTAATGACAGATTGCGAGAGCACCGAGCTGATGCGCTTGGATGCGCACGCAGCAGAGGGACATTCAGCGGGCCATAGCCGCAAGTGCGCCTATGCTCTAGAATTTGTTGCTACACGTGCTCAATGGAAAGACAAAGACGGGGCGACGCGAGAAATCATTGAAGCATTTGCGATCAGCAGCATGAATGAAAGCATCTGTGTCAGTGTACTTCCGCTTGCTCTATCGTGGAAAGAGACCATTTGAAAACATATCTTGCATGTGCAAAGCGGTCACTTGGGTCGCATGGATCACGTGCGAATAAGAGTGTTGTTGCACTTGTGCGACTGCGCAAAGGGTTCTATATTTTGTATATGTACTTTCAGTAAAATCAGTTGATGTCTAGCCCCCGTCCTGTTTTTGTGTCCTCTTTTGTGTATGCATGTGTCAAATTTCTTTTGCGTTTCCGAAATGAATGTGTGTGTACTAGACTGTTTTCGCAAATGATTCGGCTTTGAATGGTGTTCTCCACTAACCACAATTTCGCTTCTCTTTTTTTGTGAGTGATTTGTAATGTTATCGATGCACTTTGCACAAAGAATTCACGGCTCTTTCAATAAATCCTAATCACCCTATTCCTAGATTTAGGTTTACACTAGTTTATGCACATTATAACCAACGAAAAGGCCACTATTTGTTGAACGTCGGCGATCTTGAGTTTGCTACATCCGCTTGCTTTTAATTGCGCATTCATTGCCTTTCGACCATCTTGGCGCAGCTACTATAAAGGACACAGGTATTTGGATAAAGGTGACGGTCTCTGTCATTAACTCGATAACTCATTGAGATAACTCGAGCATTCTTCGGTGACGTTTTACACATACAGTGCGTTTCTGCTAGCGTAGTCTTTTCTCCGTGCGTACATCGCTCTCAAACATTACTACATTACTGACAGTGCAACATGTTCCACTGTGCATCACTCAATGAAGTATGAATCATGTATTTATAAAATTACTGAAAGCGCAACATGCTTCAACGTGCATCACTCCGTGAAGAGTGAACTATGTCTTTTTAGGAATAAGAAATTGGGGCACGGGACCTTTTTTCAATGATTACCATTTGCTGGTTACATGAGTGCTATTGTTTCAAAGTTTGTCATTGATTCTGGCGCTTTACAATACAAGGTAAAGTGTACATTCAATCCATATGCCTGCAATCACAGCTACTCAGATGGTTTGGATAGGGCCACGCAAACTGGTTTCCGCAAGGGTCTGGTCGCCAGTGTCGGCGTGTCCGTCATCTGGGCCTCAATCTTCGCCAACTATGCTCTCGGCTTCTGGTACGGCATCAATCTTATAGTAGCAGACTTCGAGATGCCACCCGGACAGAGGCAGTACGATACGAGCACGCTTATAATTGTAAGTACTCCTCTCTATGTACAGAAACAGTGGCACAGCCACCTTCGCCTGTGGGAAGGTTACACATCGAAATTTTCACGTAGGTTTGTTTGTGATTGTTTCCATCTGCTGTACTTGGCAGGGCACTAATTCAGCATTTGTAATGTCCACTCGGCGCTTTATTATAGTCGTTTTCGCAAGATTGTTCACGACTGTGTCAGTAATCTCACTTTTTCTGAATTGTAGATTATGTCGCAAGTTGATACCACTTGAAGAGTAGTAAGGGTGAAACCTGAAGAGCCATTCGACAACTTGCTCTAGTAACAATGCCATACGACGCTGTCTTTGCTGGCCCAGATGTTGAGTCATTTGCTGAAGGCGTCATATACAGTATGTAAGTTGTTCATATTGTTACGTGGAAATTATTATGTTATTTTCCACGTAACATCTTGGTGGAGGTGCGGGGTACGAGCCAGAAGACATAGATGGCCATTGGCTGCGGCAGTAACGAGCGATGTGTCCAGCGCGACCACAGCGGAAGCAGATCGGCTTATCATCAGCTGTTCGCCATTCAGACGGGTTTCTGGTTCGAATAGAGTACGGACGGCGACGTCTCATGTCCACAGAAGCTATCGAGGGACCAGTATTATCCAGGGTGGGTGCAGTGGACAGGATACCAAGGTTAGCGAATTTCTGGTGGACAACAGCCTGGATCAAGGCGACAGCTGGCGTTGAGGCGTCGGGCAACGTCGGTTTGTTGGCAGCCGGGTCAGCGGCCTCGAGTTCACGTCGGACGATGCGCGTCACGTCTTCGGTTGTAGACGGATGACAAGGAGTGGCTTCGCAAGACGACGTTGCCGCGGTGTTGGGTAGGCGCTGAAACTGCTGCAAAATGCGTCGACTCTTCGCCTGCTCGAGACAGCGGCACTCTTTGATCACGGCGTCGATGGTCGTTAATTGGTAAATACAAGCAGGCTGAAAGCATCGTTGGCGATTCCTTTTAAAACGTGCGAAATCTTGTCGGCCTCAGTCATGTTGGGATGGGCCCTTTGACACAACGCTAAGACGTCTTGAATATAAGTCAAGTAAGGCTCAGTGGACGTCTGTGTACGTACAGCCAATTGATTTCGGGCATCAAGCTGTTGACCAAACGGGTTGCCAAAGAGGTCGCGGAGCTGTTGTTTAAACATTTCCCAGCTTGTGATTTCATGCTCGTGGGTCTCAAACCAGATGCGAGGGGTCTCGTCAAGATAGAAAACGACATTCACAAGCATAGCGGTTGGGTCCCAGCCATATTGCTTGCTGACGCGCTCGTACATGCTAAGCCACTTGTCCACATTCGCGTTGCCCTCTCCAGTAAAGGTACCGGGATCACGGGGTTGCGATAGGGCGACGTACCTGGTTGCTGTCGTTGCTGAGGTAGGTGGCGAAGCCGTATTCTCATCCGGAGCCATGGTAGCAGACTTAAGGAGGCGTCCACTGCGTAGCTCCGTTGTCAGAAGAGCACCCAGCACTTCCACCAAGATGTTAGGTGGAAAATAACAGTTGTCAGTCCGTAGCCACAACGCAGCTCACCAACAACGTCCACTTCTTCACTATCAGTCTGAGGCACCTTTCTTGTGTATGCCCCACTATGCCCTCTTTCAGTCAGACGAAATCACGTAACAATATTTAGCATATGCGTCTTCACTTTTCCGCCCGCCAGTTTTAAAACCTTTGAGTCACTACCATCAACATCAATGCACCGAATAGCTGAAATTGTGGCTAGCACATTATAACTATGAGACGTGAGATGTCTGAGACACTTTTGTTAATGCGCTTGTAGCAGTCACAGAAATTTTGTATATCAATATTTTTCACTCTAAAACAGGTGTTCTTCAGCGTGCTCATGTTCTCCATGAGTTTGGGACAAGCGACGCCATACTTTCACGCTTTCGCCAATGCGAAACGTGCAGCCGGCAAAGTCTATCAAGTTATCGACAGGGTGAGTGTTGGTGTCATGCACGCCGCTCTGTGAACAGCTTTGGCAGGTTTATGAGCTTGCGTCATTTAAATTGTGCCACATTGTGAGAACATACAGTAGTTTGACTGCACTAAATCTTACAGTTGAACCATTGGCTTTTTGGAACAAGCCTGTTATTTGTCTCTCGAGCTGATGTTACAATTGATTAATATTCGTTTGTAGCTCTTGTGAAGGAACGTGATAACATTTTTAGTATGCTTGCACGCAGCTGAAGTGAGATAAACGTGAGTGTCATGGCTTCAGGAATTGACTCGTTGTGATGATTTCCCAAGCATGGCAAGAATATAAAATGAGAATTGTAAACTTCGTGCCGGCTCGTGGTCTGTGGTGCGTGACCTCGCAATTTTGTGGCTGAATAAAACGCTGCTGATAACCGGTAGATATTGGCTTCGCATTTCTAAGTGCTAATACGTAGTGGCTTGGTATAAGATGTCGGACACTATAAAAATACTAGCAAACCAAAGTCTAGAGCATGTCAGTATCAAGACGCTTGAGATGAAGATTTCATTTAGAATAAGTAACCTCAGCAACTGCAGCTTCCACTGTTTATTTAAATCCCGGCTGCGGCGGCTGCATTTCCGAAGGAGGCGCAAATGTTGTAGGCCCGTGTGCTCACATTTGGGTGCACGTCAAAGAACCCCAGGTGGTCGAAATTTCTGGAGCCCTCCACTACGGCGTCTCTCATAACGATATGGTGGTTTTGGGACGTTAAACCCCACATATCAATCACTGTTTATTTAACACAAAATAAGATGCACTTCTCACTTCCTCTAAACACGTCTATTGTATTCATACAATGCAGTATCAGGTGCAACAGCCATTAAATATACTTAGCATGTGTGCCAACTCATAACAGTGGACTCGTGCCTCTTCGAAATCTCAGTGACTGTAATTTCAACGCTGGTGATTGAACGAGCAGTTATGAAGAGAATAATATGAAAACTGTGACACGAAAAGAGCAATGAAATGCTGCAAAATGCAAGCACAACTTTTTGCGTTTCTGAGCTTTTGATTGTTTTCCGTCTCTTTCCGTCCCGACGTTCTTATGATAACTAAATCGACAGTGAACACATAACCAAATGCGGGAAAATATTTCATTTATTCTTCATTTAGGGCTGATCCTGGCATTCCTAATATATTTTTTTTACTTCGTCACACTTCTTCATAATAAAACAACTTGGCCATTGCTCCTGCTTGTGCGCCCATTTTTTGGCTTCTGTGTCTATCGGCAATAAAACCATCCGTTCGGTCTTTTCATGCTAGCCTCTTCACGGGCACTGGCGAATGCCGAAAGCACTCCAGCGCGCTTGTCTTCTGGCAGTCTCATCCTGCGGTTCTGTCATCTATTACTGTTTATTTGTTCTACTATGTATCGTCGACAAATAGTGCTTGCTCAAACGAACGCACGTTCCGTGCACTTGACTGCCCTACAGCAGCAGGGGATTTGCGATGTGCAAACATAATGAAAACGTGGTTGTCACTTGAACCGGCCGTATACACACACACACACACACACACACACACACACACACACACACACACACACACACACACACACACACACACATATATATATATATATATATATATATATATATATATATATATATATATATATATACACACTGGTGCGGAGTGGCTTATTTAGAGCAATGGCGAGGACAATAATAGGCCTGAACTCCTGAAACAAAATCATGAGACTGCAGGGATAAACTCAAGCTATATGTATGTATGCGCGATATATATATATATATATATATATATATATATATATATATATATATATATATATATATATATATATATATATATGCCTCGTAGGAACTATAAAGAAATTTGAATGGCACTTTTCATCATGTATACTTTGGCAGCCTCTTCAAAAAAGTTACGAGGAGCACGTCACCATGTTTGTAGAAACCACTTTCATCTAGCGCTTGAAGCTTTTCCGGCACACTACCGTGTACTGTATAACACGAAAATATTGAAATTATGTTTCTTCGATACGCTTTCAGAATATAAAAACTATGAACGTCTGTTGTAAAGTGTCCGAAAATAATTGTCAAGCATTCCGGCTGAAAAAACGCGAAAGTGCTGAATAAACATCACAATAATCAAACTATGTTTGTTTAAGACACCTCCATCAATAGAACAATCACTATGTTAAGCATTCAGTGCCATATAAGTCGGGCACATGCATTGTGGATTTTTCTGTCAGCCTCAGAGCAAGAAGCTTGTTCTGAAAAAAAAAAGTCAGTTGCTCGGCACGCACAGGAAAGATCAATTGGCTTTTTAACTAAATATATTGCCTAGTTGTCTACTAAATATGTGTTATGCCATCGCTGTGATAAATGTGATTAGAAAACACTGATTAGAACAACTGAGTTGGTCACTGTTGTGAGAAACACCAGCTAATTTGCTGCGGCTGAGGCCCCGACGGAGCCGCTGTTACTTGTTTCCCCGTCGCCCTCGTCCCGGCCCCGTCGCGCTGCAGCGGGCGCAACTGACCCTACAGCTGACACGTGCTCTCCCATAGAAAGCTGCTTGACGCGGCAGGCCGTACCGCGTGCTTTTAAAGACGACAGTCTTTCTTGGGGACCTTCGACAAAAAAAAATTTTGGTCTGTTTGTATATTTGTCTGTTTGTCCGGTCTTAACGGTATCTCAAACGGTCGACCTTATATGCAGCACCCACCACTACTGCTCAAGGTTTAGTGTTTGCACTTGTGCGATTGTGAAATAAAAAGCAATTGTTGCGCATATCTGAGGTACCACAATAACTCGTCGTTGTTTTGTAGGTGTGCCTTTATACTAGAGTAAACATACACAAGTAATTCTAAGGAACCTAGCGTTAAACACACTGAGCTAGCAGTGCGACGCGATGCTCAAAAAAGGCAAGTGTTACCAACGCTTTGCTAAAACGAGACGGTGGTGGAACTTGTCCGTCGCTTTGCGTTCTAGACCTGATCGCCTCCGAGAATGGCATGCATCTTCGCCGGCGCGCATGCCTTCCTTCGTTTTCGAAGATGAATGCCAGAGGGCGCTCGTTTATAACGTGCCTCAGTGTGCTCGTTCGCCTTCGCTGCACGCTCGAGGCAGCGCCTCCAGAATACCATTCACTGATTTTATTGCACAGAACATCAAATAAATGTTTTGTTCACTCTCTCCGGAAGCAAGACTATCGTCTTTCGACGACATTTGCAGATCACATGCAGATCCGGGGCCAAAAATTTCATCCAGCGGCCGTGCTACAGGTCATGTTCACGGGCAAAACGACGCGTACTGTAGAAATTTCACAGCGTTCGGCTGATCCCGGGTGCACTATATAGCAGTAGCTCACATGTATAATGCATTTACTGAAGCTGTGCAAGGCTACAGTCTCTCAGCAAAAATGTGTCCCTTTGTAAACTCGCATGCTCGAAGAACAAAACAGTCAAGGCCGATCACACCACCATAGCTTTTTCAAGCATGTTACAATCTAACAGCTCAAAAGCTCGCTTGTTACACCTTGCAATAAAAAATGGTGCGTTTATTGCACTCATGCTCACGAACTGTTCTCGTCCGTCCGGAAGTCATGACCTATACTCGTCTTTACGGCCATTTGAATGCATCTTTTCGCACGTATGTTTGGCAGCCAGTTGGATGCCAGTTGATTGCCAGTTGATCACGGATCTTCGCCATAAGATCGCTGCGCGTATGGTCCGGGACGCTGGCGACTACTGAAAAAGTGACATTTGTTGTTAACGATTGTTCGCAGCAGCTACTTTGATGTTGGAAAAAGCAATGACGATGGAACTGATAGAAACTAGCCACACCGTTTTGTCCGTAAAGTTGACTTTGCCGTGGAAAAACGGACGGTTTTCCGTCATTTTGTATCAATTGACGGTGGTCTTCGAAGAGCGATGTGAGTGGCGCAAGGAATAGGTACGCGCCACTCTGCTACCGGCGGTAGCATACATAGAGGGATATTGGAATTTAACACCTTCTTCCTCGTTACCTCGTGAATCCACACGTGCTGATTTTGTCAGAAATTCAGAACAGCTTCCTTGAATTCAGCAATGATTGTGAAGCCGAGTAAATTGAGTCGGTTGCTCAAATCTTCTGTACACATCTTTTTCCCCAGCAGTGATACCACGTGTCGATAGAGTTTGGTTGCTTAGTCTTGTTTGTATTCACTCTGCCAGAAACCGGCCATCGACAGCAGGTCTACCGAAGGGATCAAGCCGATGGAGTTTGAAGGCGCCATCCAATTCAACGAGGTCACATTCTCCTACCCTTCCCTCCCCACCACCGACACACCGGTGAGTCGTCTAAGGAAGCATGCGCAGATGCGATACAGTTATACAGCAGCAAAAAGTGGCGCCTTTTATAGTTGGACGCCATAGCAAAATACTGCTCTAGTGCGTACTTCAACCAGTTAGTTTATACTTATTATTCTATAGTGTTACACGACAAGTTTAGATTATGGATTATAAAGCTGAACGTGCCTCGTGTCAGCGAAACTTTTGCACATGAGTGCATTCTGTGTAATGGACAGCACGCTTTCAACCACGGTAATCATGCGCGTGAAATCTTTTCGAACATGATATGCTCTCGGTAATATGGTCTTAAGAAAAGAGGTGCAGTAACGCGTGTACCTTTTGTAGTGCGTGGCATTCTTTAAAGCATGAATTCATTATTATAATCACATGTTCTGATGCTTGATGACAATGTACACATGTACCACGTATTATTACTGTAATATCAGCTGTACTATTGTGAAGCATGTATACATGACACATGTGTTTTTAAAGCATGAAATGTATTTTTACTGCATTTCTAAGCAGTGATAGGGTTTTTTCCCACTGAATTTCCAAGCAAAGATTGGGCTTTGTGGTAGAACACCTGCTTTCTACGGAAGTGACCCGGCTTTGATCCTCACTCAAACCAGGAAATTTTTATTACTCGTTTTATTTGCATCTTTCTCAATCTCTCAGTCCAGTCGCACACAAGATGAGTTTTTTGCTCACAACCAATGCGCCGATGGGAGAATTTTGGCAAAATGATCTCTGTAACGCTATCGCATTATTAGTCTGTTTTCGTGTCCTATTTAAGAATCCCACCCCTTGGAGAGCATAGAAAGATCTAGCTGTTCAGACCCGCCATGAAGCAGCAGCTGTAGCTCTTTACCTGGAGCCCAGTGGCGAAAACAGCACATGAAATGCTCTTAAGTGGGGACTATTTTAGTTTGTCGGCGTCCCCAGAAAAAGCTATCTAAATAAAACGTTTCAGTTATTTATTATTTCAAATATGAAATTGTTGCGCATATTAGTATAGGCTACGGAGTTTCTTCTGGTTTTCTTAGTTGCATCGTGAACATGTGCCTGTTATTCTTGGCCACAGTGCTGTCATACCAGTTGTGGCGAAATAACTCTTCTACGCCAAGTAAACGGTCATTTCCAAAGTTAAGCGGTATCTTTGCGCCGTGTCGTTTCATTTTAGCGAATCGATTGGCCTAAATGTTCACCACAGTTTATTCGTTCTACCTTTCGCTCACTAATTTTTCGAAAAATATAAGTTTTTGAATGAATATGACATATTCAATGTGAAAATCAGTATGACATCTTTTTTGTCATTCCAGTTCGTCCACTATTTCAATGTTCCTTGATGTATTCTTCCTGAGGCATCAGGCCCGTTTGCTCAGATTTACGTGAACGTTAAAGAACCCCAGGTGGTCGAAATTTCCAGAGCCCTCCACTACGGCATCTCTCATAATCAAATGGTGGTTTCGGGACAATAAACCCCACATATCAATCAAATCTTCCCGAGGCATCTTTGCTGCTTTCATTTTTGTTGACTTTTTTCCACCGGGGCAGCAATTTAAAATAAAGGGATCATTATATTTACGAAATAGATACGGTTATCGAATAAATCGGAATTGCTATGTGCAAATGCTCTCATTTACAGTGGAACCCTTCTGTGGCGAACATGTGCGAAAGGCCGCATGTTGTTTCGCTAACGAATACTACTTGGCGTGAAGATTCACACGCCCTTGCACTGACAATGCGCAGAGCACAGGCGCCTTGCTCATCTTCTGTGGTTACCTTCAGTGCTTCACGATGGGCGAGTTTGCGTGATAAACTATTCGAGCACCGTTGCGTTGCATACTACAAGGCATATCCGCGCTTATTATGCCTGGAGTTATTTCTTTCGGTTCAAATATGACTCCTAATACTATTTCTAGAAAGGTAGTTTCAATATCGGTGCTGCGCACATGATCCCCTGTTTTCAAAGTAACGTACTTATACTCCAAAGGACCTCACGCACGACGCCTGAAAAATCTGTCAAAGTACTATGCTAAATGATTCTAATTACAGGAAAGCACTCCATATAGCTGCGCACATGTGCCGTCAAATTCATACTTGTAGTGTGCACGATGAGCCGAGATTATAGTGTTTCGTCTGCAAAAATGGGCTTACGCTGTATAGCGCGCAGCCGGTTCCGAAAAGGTCCACTATGCTTCATAAGAGTACTTCAGGCTTGGTGTCTTGCGTTCTTTGTGTACATCTTTTCACTGAGCACGTCCCCGTAGTGCATCGTGATATTCTACACTGCAGGCACTGCACAACTTCTCGATGTCCATCGATCCGGGAGAGACGGTCGCGGTTATCGGGAGGCAGAAGTGCGGCAAGAGCACCATCATTAGCCTCATGCAGAGATTCTACGACGTCACTGGTGGACAGGTGGGCTACTCCGCTTGGCTATAGGCTCTGTTAACGGCTTTAAAAAGCGATACCCTTACTTAATGCTGGTAATAGAGTTGTCTAACATATGGTGAGCTAGGACTTGGTTTTCATTTCTATCTGATTCGTAACGATAAAGACTTCTAATATTGATATTGCGATAGCATTCTATGGACACTCGAGGCGGAATTTTGCCACACGGTCATTTACCGTATATATATATATATATATATATATATATATATATATATATATATATATATATATATATATATATATATATATATATATATATATATATATATATATATGTGAAAATGATCAAGAAAAAGATTCCGGCACGCGGAATCGAACATCCGACCTTTCAATTGTGAGTGCGAGGCGTTAGCCACAGAGCCACGAAGGAGCACCTTCTTCAACGCTGAAGCAGCAAACTACTTATATCTACCACTTACCGCTGGCGATGGCCAGCTACGGGGAAATATCGTGTTTTAAGCATTACGATCGACATTGCGCAATGAGCGCGTGTCGCCAGATCGTCACGACGTGGTGGCGACACATTCTCATTTCCCACCCGTACTTTGCCCCATGGAGAACGTGGGGGGGGGGGGACGCTCGCACGTGCGCTCGCCTATCTCATGGTAAGGACAATCGTATGCCTTGGGATTTCACAGGAACAATTATGTTGTAGTTACCGGGCGCAAAAAGGTCACTGCACTCATTTCACAATTTCCGTTTGCTTTTCAGACACAGTGAACTAACAACTGACACACTTATTCGCGTTGATTTGTACCTGTGGGTACGTTTCGTGCGTAATTTGTGCGTGAGAAACGCGGGTCAGGTTTCTCTCAGCTTGCCATTCTTCGCGTGACCTTCCAATTCGTTGGTATTGTGTTCATTGCTTCGCCTCAGAAGAAGAATCAAAAAGAAATGTTCACAGGCAGGGCAGGTTGCGCGAAGGCAAGATAACCGCTGGTCATCAAGCGTCACAGACTGGACTCCAAAAGCAGGCAAGCGGGTGATGAAGAGACAGAAAGCTAGATGGGCAGATGGGATAAGAAAGTTTGCGGGTATTGCATGGCAGCAGCAATCGCTGGACCAAGTGAACTGCTGGAACACGGGAGAGGCCTTTGTTCTGCAGTGTGCGTAGTCAGGATGATGATGATGTCGCGGTACCGATGAGTGGGACACCCTCGTTGCTGTTGACAAGTCGTGCGGCCTCGCTGTCATCATCTGGACGTATACGTCTTTCCTGTCATCATTTGTAAATGTTCCTTAACACCTACTGATCAGGCTAAGGTGCTTTCGTGCGAGGGTACTCTCATTTGTTCCAGCATTAGTAATATAAATAGAAAGAACCAAAAGAACCGGCAATAGGTGCTTTTAACCTAGAGGTACTGTGGTATCGCACTTATTTCTTTAGCGACAGCTTGTCAGGAAGCGATAAGCTTTACTCCACTGCTTTTCTATGCTACTGTTTAGGACGCAGTTATGCATGCGCCCCCGGCTGGTTTCGTTTAGAAAGTGTTCACTGCGATGTCTGCAGATCCTGGTGGATCAGAAAGATATACGCTCCTACAACATAGGCTGGCTGCGAGGGCAGATGGGCGTGGTGGGTCAGCGGCCCGTCCTGTTCGATGCCACGGTGTCCGAAAACATCCGTCTTGGCCTGGGCACCGCCACGCAGCACGACATCGAACAAGCCGCCATCGCAGCCAACGCGCACCACTTTGTGCTCAAGCTGCCCAAGGTAAAAACTCGCGGATTGCTTATCAGTTAACAGAGGCAAGTGGCCACGTAAGTAACTCATGAAGATCTCCTCAAATGGTAATGAAAAAATAATAGAAGGCCTTACGGCCCTAACCTTATCTAGAGTGAGCGTTCCTTCAACTTCACGTGCGTTCGTGAGATTTGTAGCACCGTGTATTTGTTAATTGATATTCTCGTAGGGAAGCAATGCTTCTGTCAGCGCAGGGCTGGTGCCCTTACCAATAATCATATCCTCATTGGAAGGAAACAGCTGCAGTAAAGGATGCCTGATTGAGCGCAATATTTAGGAGCCTATATATTTGGTAGCATGATGCAGAGCCAACGAATGATTTAAAGCACATATTATTAGGAAACCATTCAAATATATTTCACTACCCATGGTTCAGCTCTTAAATTCCTTTCAGCCCTTTGGAGAGTACACGGCTTTTGACCAATAGGAAGGGGATCCCTTGTAGAAGTCAGAAACTGACGGCATGCCTTCCTCCTCCTTTCCCCTTTATTCCTACGCTCATCATAATGATGATCGTTGTGTTCACATCGTTGGCCCGCTTCCAAGACAATCTTCGTCGTCCATTTTCATCATAATTTTGACCGCGACAAAACTAAACCACATATGGCTCCATACAACAAGAACTGCCAAGCTATCACACTCGTCGGGCGGGTAGTTCGAACTTACTTCCCTTGTAAAATGTTCACGCGATCTTTTCGTTCGCTGGCTTACATATACGTCGATGCGTGATGCACTCAACGTCTGGCACTAACCATCATGCACTATGTGTGTGCGAATTAGTCTCGCATGCACTTTGAGAATATTTTTTAGTAAAAAAAAGCACTTTTGATTAGTACAAGATCAGTTCGTGGTTACAGGTTGAGTCGAAACTATCTCGATTTTGGAGAGGACCTTTTCTATTCCATCGATGTTTCAACAGCTTGAAGCAATTTTCAATTACGGGAACTCTTCTGGTTAGACCGTGCTGCTTACATGTGGTAAATCTGTCATAACAAGTTTTGTTGGCCAGTGCTTCGCCCATTCTTGGCATAATGTCGTGTTTCTGAAAGTCTTTGTTGGCTCTAACTCTTGTCTGTTTCAGGCATTCTTCAGCTGTCACATGTGAATACCTTCTTGTCTACCTTTTCTAGAATTCCTTTCCTTTCGACGTCATTATTTTGTGCAAGCTTCCAGGTGCTTCCGCTTTGTCCATCGGTCGCTTACGCCTTGACCATGATTGCTTCACTTATTCAGTCGCATACTACGGGATTACCCTCTCTCCTTCAGGTTCCGCTCCGGTGACCGAGAGAGGGATTCGTGTGGCTGATAGTGATCCACACTTGTCATGTTCAACTCTATTTGTATGTTTGTTTTCTCGTGAACTTGCACCTTTTCTAGGCTTGGTCCATTGGTCTCCATGACACACACTTGACTTAGTGTTACTGCAATGTTATGATACTCTACAGTCTTACCTATATATTGCTAGGCGAGGAAGTGGCTTGCTTAGACCCCATAGCTTTAGTAAAGTGCTGAGTGGTAATGTGGACATGTACTAGTACAGTGTAACGTGCGCCAAAGCAAGTATACATGCCCATTTTGACAATTTGATTTCATAAAAATGAGTCTGACGTGGCCGAGAATGAAATAAAAAGGTTATTTTCACCAGCGTTTTGAAAGAACAATATTCACCACAGAACAACGAAGTGCTAGCATACATGAAAAGTTATTGAGTATCTTGGCCAATAACTAAAAGCGGAGCCTACTTATGAAAATCAAGTTCACGGAAGAAGAAAGATGAGCTCGAGCACATACTGCAGACAATCGAGAACCGTGGAGGGCAATTTATGACAAATATATGCCTGAAGCGGTAAATATACAACTTGCGGTAGTGTATCGGGTCCTATTCGGCATGACACACGTGGTTTGTCCTCGTGCAAGCAGCGCTTTTCTGGCGAAATGCAGAATTATAGCAGGCGCTGTTCGAATGTATACGCTTCGACGAGGCGATCAGTAAGCGTAGCGAAACGCCTCCCCACAGAAATACGACACTCTTGTGGGCCCCCACGGTCATCCCTTGAACTCGAGCGAGACGCAGCGGTTGGGCATCGCGCGTGCCATGGTACGCAACCCACGCATATTCCTGCTCGACGACCAGCCGAGCACACTGGACTCCGAGGCGGACATGGCGGTGCAGGTGGCCCTGGACAAAGTGCGTGCAGAGGCGAAGTGCTTTGTTGCTCTTTTACAACCTTTTGAATAAAAAATGAAGATATGAGAATGACGAGGTATGCTATATATATAGAGTGAAGTGGCAAGCACAACCATATTGACGAAACCACTTCGCTGCCAGGTCGACCAGCTATATGATTTATTGAGGCCTTTTCGTTCCAGCGAAAGGAGTTCGTTGCTTACTTTACTATGCATTCGTTGCTTTGTCGTTATGGCGAAACTGACTTTTTATGCGTTTCATGCACTGATGTTACAAGCAACGGTGTTTTTATTTCAATTTAAGCAGGCAACAAGTCTGAGCTTCCGTAAAGGAGACAATGCGATAAATCGCTTTCCACTAGTCACCCCTGCTAGGAAAAACTAACTGAGCATGGTAATCGCCGTTGGCGTGCTCGGCAACAACCGCCAACGCGTAGCGACTGCGCTGCTCCGTCCGAAAGTAACTTGTGTTAATCATTATTTTCAACAATGATTTCACATGTATGCGTGACAAACACGAGATAGTGACAATTATTTTATGACATTATTCCCTTGGCTTGCTTCGTAGATTTTCGCTGCGATGCAAAGCAGTCAGCCTGAAACTACTTACAACGCACATAAGAGCCAAACAGTGCCTTGTATGCAGTCTCTAGCTGACGGCGTCACATTTCCTCGAGTCTCGCAGTGTGCGGGATTTGCCGGATTTTATATAAATCTGCAAACAGCACATTTGGAAATTTGGAATTGACCTTATCTTTAGCTCAAGAGCGAAATGCGTCACAATATTTTCTGCAGAAAAGCCTCCACTGCAAGTCACACTTGAGTTTTCGAGTGAACTGCGGTCATACATGCACCGCGAAAAGTACATGTCTGAGGTAATTGATATTTGGGCTGTAAGTAAGACAGAAATTGCATATTGGAACGGTCTTGCGTAAGCACACTAGGGACGTAAATCTGAAGACCGAGTAAATTAAAAGGCCAGTATCTTTTGGACGCCTTCGTCGCATGACGTTCTTGCGTTCGACTACTAGTTTTGCTGAATTTTAATTTGTTTGTGAGGCTTATGCTCACATAGCCTGTCCCGTTCAGCGTCAAATTGCAAGGTTGCGTGATAAGGCGGAGCAAAAAGTTTTCTAAAAATATTTGTTTTACTCGTAATTGCTATTGATGAAGTAAATTTCCCACAGGCTCGCGCAGGGCGCACGGCGCTCATAATGGCCCAGCGGTTATCCACGATTCGCTGTGCCGACCGCGTGATTGTGATGCGAGCGGGACGCGTGGTGGACATTGGCAGTCACACCGAGCTCATCAAAAAGGGCTCGGCACCCTACATCGACATTATCACCACTCAGGTACCGTTACTGTCATGACTCATTTGTAGGGGATTTGTAGAGAGTACCAGGATTTACACAATTATTGTGGCATGTAGCAGATAGGCAGCAAAAATTACGACTGAATAAGACAGCTTCGCTGTTAAAAAGGATATGCAGTAAGTTTGTACAAAGCGCGAAGCTTGACACGGCCAAGCACGAGCATGTTGGCTCTTGTTCGGCAACCAATTTTTTTCAGATTTCTCTGACGAGCTCGGTGGCCTCCTTTGTTTCTTTGCAGTTTACTGTTTCTTTCTTCCTGCCTTTTTCGCCTCTGGTCATTCTATAGTGAACTATAGATAGCTTATTCTTCTTTCTTTCTTTCTTTCTTTCTTTCTTTCTTTCTTTCTTTCTTTCTTTCTTTCTTTCTTTCTTTCTTTCTTTCTTTCTTTCTTTCTTTCTTTCTTTCTTCTTTCTTTCTTCCTTTCTTTCTTTCTTTCTTTCTTCTTTTCTTCATTTCTTTCTTTCTTTTTTTCTCTCTCTATTTCCCTCTTTATCTTTCTGGTTCTGTGTGCGAGATCAGTGCACGTTGAGCAGCACCAGATGGTCGAAATTTCTGGAACCCTCTACGATGGCGTCTCTCATTCTGTTGTTTTTGGGACGTAAAACTGCATATTATAGTATTGTTATTGTTATTATCACATAGTATTATTATAATATAACTATTTTATTATTATTTCTTGGCGCGCAGCGTGATGAAATGTTTTCATGTCTCTGAGCAAGTGCCCGGTGTCGAAAGTGCCGCGCAACGTAGACATATTCGACGAAAATGCTTGTGGTCTGCGTACCAAGACAAATGAGGTCTTCGCTAGCGTTCTTTCGTCATGTTTTGCTATTATTACTATTTCGAAACCTAGATGGGCACTGAAATTTCGTCCTCTGACATTTTACCCCGACCTTCCTTAGTGACCCAGAGTTCAGTGCAACCAAACGGAAATCCAGTGGCGTGCTGATTTCCATTGACAGTTCACTGAAAAAAAAAATGGAAGAAAATACCGACAATTCTTTGAAGAATTAATCTGGTTAAAATTCACTCTTCAATGCTGAAACAAATTGTTGACTGTTTCCATTTAGCGCCCAGCATTTTCTCTTGTTTTTTTTTCATGATGTCATATGTACCATTGAGCTTGTGATACCTTCTCATCGTGGGCACAGAATACTTGTTCTTGGAGGCTTGAATACACCTGAAATCGACTGGAGCACGCTTTCTGTTTCCCATTATAATTACTTCATTTTAGAAAAAGTGCAGCCTGCTCTTGGCATTTCTGGCGTTTAGTTCTATTCTGCATTAGAGCTCAGTCGCCAATTACAAAGACAATGTCTTTAACCTCTATATGTCAAACGATGAACCCGTTTACGTTTCTCGCTCCAACATCTCACTTGTTTGTCCTGACAAGTGCTACCTACCAAATAACGTAAGATTATTTGCATGGGCCGAAACAAGGAGCTACAGCTGTCAAATAAGCCAATCTCAAAGATTTGCATTCAAGAGATGTGACTACACAGGCTTGTATCATTACTTGTCAGCCATTGGTTGCTCAAAGGTTACTGATAAAGCTAATGTTGATGGCAAAGTTGTGCAGGTACCTGTGCAGGTAAGTTATACTAGAAAGCATGTGTAATTTTACTTAGCATTATATACCTAAACAAGAAAATGTCCCCACTGGCTTGTCTTCTGAACATATCAGTGCACTGAAACGTAAAGATCTCGCGCGCAGAAGCCTAAATGTTCGTCATTATACGAGTGGAAGGAAAGTTCAGCCATTTATGAACTCTCCTATACGTCTTTATAAACGGGACTACAGTTAATATATTGCATTATTAAAAATGCATCTGACAGCGCGAACGGTCAAGCAAAAGTGAGGAGTCCTTGAGGCTACTGAATTTGAACGATGTCGAAACGCAGGTTGTCCCTGACTGTTATTCTACGCATTTTTCATCCGGTACAAGGCATAAGGTTCAAGCACTCGGATCAGAAAACAACCCAGGGCAGTTACCACATCTAGTGATCTGTCGCTGGATGAAAGCTTATCTGCTCACTCATTAGGCGCTTAAAACCATCCTTATCTTGTGGCCCAAATGGCATCGCTTCCGCCTATACTAAACTCTTTCAGTAGTGCATATACCTTAGAACTTACTACAATATTTATTAACTGTCTGAACACTTTCACATTGCCTAGCATGTAGACAACTGCATGTGTTTTGTTTTCAGTATTAAGCCAGGCTTCAATACTGATGCTCCTAAGCATTGCCCGATTTCTCCTTTGTGCCGCATCGAATATTTTTCTGCTGACTCTTCAGAGCATATTGCATGCCAGCGTCAAAAACTCACTGATTTCCAATCAAGACTGGTTTTTTGCTGGCCGCTCAACTACCACAAGTCTTAAAAGTTTCATGACTCGAATATCCCCACCTATTTCTCCGAGAGGGCAAGTTGACGTAGTCTACTGTGACCTCAGCAAGGTTTTTGACGTAGTCAGTCACTCAATGATTCTGGTTAAACTTGCACGCTTTGATGTTGACTCTTCTGTTGTAAATCTCCTGCACAGCTATCAGCTTAATACATCATGTTATCTTTTCGTATATTGCCAAGCGTCACCTTTATGCAAAGTGACCAGTGCAGTTTATTCAAAGTGGCCAAAAAATGAACGTAGGCCGAATACCGACCCAAAGGGTCGGTATTTGGCCAACGCTTATTTTTTGTTCATGTTACAATATTTGTTTTGTAATTCGTGATTCCTCGTTTCAATCTTACGCCAATGACATCAATGTTTTTAAAGACATTTATTCAGTTGACGACTGTCACTTGCTGCAGTAAAATTTGTGCTCTTCCCCGAATGTTGTAACAAAAAACTTTCTCTAAATACATCAATCCCCAAATGAATTAGTATTTCTCGCTAAACAATCATGGCGTCGTTTTCATACTCTGTCAATACTGTGTCTTTGTGCAAATCTTCTGAAATTAGTGATCTTGCTGTTCTTTCTTCTGCTGACGCTAACCTTTTTTCTCCTGACATAAGCGTGCTGCCATGCGAGGCCTCCGTTCTGTCGGATGTGTTTGTAAAATCTCTCAACAATTCAGTTCTACAGCGTTCCACAAATGGTACACCACAATATGTATTCCTAAACTTGAATGCGCGTGGGTGATCTGGAATGGCTCGCTAAATCCTGTACTCACGCTATTGAGTGAATACAGAAAAAATAATTAGCATTTACAATAATCGTTTGGCGAGAAAAAAAAAAGACGTTGGATCTGGTTCTAAGACTGCTAGGGTGTTATCACTGTCATCTCTTTACTGCCGATGACATCAAATTGTGTTAACCTGTTATTTCTTTACCACCTAGTTCAAGTTATGATATCCTGCCCTTTACTATCCAGTTGTATTAATTTTCGAACTCTGCCTAAGTTAACGAGAGAATCATCTGTTTCGCGTACCTGCCAGCTTCTTCCAACATTCCACTGTTAACGCAAAGTCCTTTCTAATGGAGAATTGCTCGATCTTGGTGCTTACCGTGGTCCATAGCCATTGATTTTATTTATCTGAGCTTTTGACTGTCCTAACATTGTTTTGCACAATGTACAGGTTCTTCCCTTTTCTGGCTTCTCAGAAAGCCTTCCACATATTTGTGTGTACTTCACAATTACTTTTCACTCCTATTTCATGATTCTCATGTTGCCATTTTGTTCTTCCGCTTTTTGCGTTGATTTCTTTCTCTATGTGTTTTCGCTGTTTTCATGTGTTTGCTTTTTTTGAACACTGTCGGTATCGTATTGTTTTTTGCAAGCCCCTGCAAAAAGACCCTACAGTTGTTCCTGGGCAGGTTGAATAAATGATTAATTGATTGGTACCATAATATTATTAATATTATTATAATATTATTATTATTATTATTATTATTATTATTTTATTATTATTATTATTATTATTATTATTATTATTATTATTATTATTATTATTATTATTATTATTATTATTATTATTATTATTATTATTATTATTATTATTATTATTATTATTATTATTATAATATCTTTCCGTTACATTACCTCTTTTCGTCACTCATACTGGTACGCTTTATCCTCTCTCTCTCTCCTCCTTTTCTGCCTACTCATCCTGAAATAATTTCCTACCCCCTTGCTAAGCCTCATACCATACAAGGCTATATGCCATGTTACGTCAGCGTGCCTGTATAGCGAAGGGTTCACGACTCTCGCCTTGGAATCGCGAGAACGCTACTTCATATGTCGCCACCACATGAGAAATATATTTAGCGGTGAAGCACTTTGTCACTAGTCACGCGTAACCTAGATAAAAACAGACGAGAAAGAAAAGAGGCAGAAGAAATGAATGACTATTTCTCGTCTCCTTTCCTAGATGACGTTACTCTGCTGCTACTTTCCGAATGCCGCTACACTCCGATTTGCTGCTGCACGTGCTTTGCCTGATTGCGCAAAGAAAGAGAGCCTCTCTCAGTCTCCTGGATAGTCGCTGTACGTGGTGGATCGTTGGTGGGACATGGACGGAGACGAGCGGCAGGCGCGTTGAAGACGCTTGCGCTCGGCTTCCTTGGTTCGTGTCTCCTCCGTGTTATCCGCGCACCGTCTGAAATCTCGAATGCGATCGGACGCATAGACGCATGCACGGAAGAACACACGGGCGAATGAATGGACAAACGCTTCGCCCCTTCAATCATCTATCACTCCGTGAAAATGCTGTGATAGTTTTTGCCAACTTTTTCTTTGTCTTTCTTTATCTTGCTCCCTTCTCGTCACACCTCTCGTTTTCCCCTTTCAGCACGTTGGACAAAATGGTGCAGACGCTCTGCCTGTGAAGCTGAAGACGAAGAGGAGGCCGAAGCGAGGCACTCGGCTGCTGACCCGCCGGTTGCGGGATTTAATCCCAGCCTGCGGCGGCTGCATTTTCGATTGAGGCAAAAATGGTAGAGGTTTGCGTGCCTATATTTAGGCGCACGTTAAAGAACCCCAGGTGGTCGAAATTTCCGCAGCCCTTCACTACGGCGTCTTTCATAATCATATGGTGGTTTTAGGGAGGCCGAAGCGAGTGCGTGCCGGTTTATGATGTTCATATTTTTGGCTCACGACACGTTAGGGAGTTTTCTTATAGGGGCGCCAAAGCCCTTCGCATAGTCTAGGTTCGAGTCATGCAGGAGATGAGTTTTCCAATAGGGTTTCACTCTTACCGATTGTGTGTATCGTTGGCAGCACCACTACCGCGTCAATGAGAAGCTGCTACAAAAATAAAAGTACAAGATAGCGTTTATTTTATAATAATGAAAAAATAATATAACTTGCGTTTATTGCTTAAGTGTAAAAAAGGTTTTTTTAAATATCAAAAGGCGTCTTTAATATCAAAAAGCGATGGGCTCAGTTTACATGTCTAAAGGCTGAAGAGCCATGCGCTACAGGCTAAATGCTTTAATATCTACCTCACGGTATATCCTACTGAAACGGTTTTTTTATAATAATCGACAAAAGCGAACCTGATGCATTCGAACAATAATCGCAGGCCATACTTTCATTGTTTATATGAACTGACAAATAAACGTCTATTTAGAAAACGGTATATCGATGCGAGGCCCGGTGTCGCCCTAAGGTGGAAGCGTTCTCTAGTCCAGGAACCCTCTGGCTTCGACTGCTCTCTTGGCCCTGGCGACGAGGTGTCACTGGTCTTCCAGGTCCTCGAGGACGAGCTTGGGATCCCACGTTTCCATTAGGTGGTCGTCGTTTATTCTTGGGGCTTGGTCCCGCTCTAGTTGCACGAGCATGGCACAGGTATTCCAGGAGCAAATGTGCCAGGGTGTCTGGTACGCTGCAGAGCGGGCACATGTAGCCATGTTCGTTCGGTAGAGGCGGTGCATTAATATTCCATGTATGTAAGTATTGCTTTGTAGGTGTCTGAAAATCACGCTCTTATCTTTGGTTAGTCTTAGATGGGGTGGAAGGTACACTCGTCGCTCCAGTTTGTTGTGTTGAAGTAGTGACGAGAAGGTGTTTTCTACTACCTTCATCTCTGCAGCCACGCATTCGGTATCCTTTGGTCCCAGGACAGCCCGGCTGACGTGCTCGCGGGCAGCGGCATAAGCCGCTTCATTTCCCTGTAGACCCTCGTGTCCAGGAACCCAGATTACGCAGGTATATAGAAGTGGAGAGCTTCGCTGCTGCAGAATGTTAATAGGCACTCGGCAATGCCGTTTACGAGATCTGATGGTTGCACCAGAACACAGCCTAGTGGGTAGGCGCAGCAAAACCGAGTCTTCCAATGCGTAGCCTAGCGAGTAGACGCAGCAAAACCGAATTTGCACGTGCATAGTCATTTTATTTGTTAGTTGTGAGCAAGCGGTCACGGTTGATTATGTAAGCGCCCAGGAAGCGTACTTTGCAAACGTGCCAAAAAGGGCACTGACACTTCAGCGTGTCACTGTGTTCAGCGAGCGTTCCATTTTCTTAGTATCCCTGGTGGTCGGTACCAACAACGCTGAGGCGGCCCAAAGAGCTTTGTTGCGCCCTCTGGTTCAATGTCGGGTGCCTATTGCGTCGGCTGGGACGCGGCCCTTCGCATAATTACGGCAAGCG